GAAAGGTTATCATGAGAACGATGACCATATTGACCAACTCGGAGTGGAGGTTGATGCAACTACGCAAGTAAATTCTTTGTGGTATTCTCTTGATTATCTTTTCGTATACATCTTTTCCCTGCATGTGGTGATGATTATTGTGAGATCATAGGCAGAAATAACAACATTTTGCATTGTGCAAACGTTTGAGAGATGATGTGATTCTATTTCCATCATACTGCAGCCAATGTTAACAAAGGAAAGTGCATGAATGTGACGTTAACAAGCTGAGACATATCAATGTTGGTGATGTAGTTTAACTTGTATAAGGACAAATTTTTCTTTTTTTCATGGAACAGCAAATTTCATGAATGAATGAAAAAAAATTCAAATGTCTTAACAAAATATAGTACATTTTGAATAAGTGAGTTTTAACACTTCACCAACTGAAAGCCCCCATGTATAGGAAAAACAGCAGTAGCAGGCAACTTATGTTACAGTTAACGTCAAGCCATGCTGAAAAGAAATATTGTATGCAGGTACAATGTAGGTAACATTTATGAAGCCAAAATAGCCAAAACCAAAATACCATTCAAATGGAGGATATGATTGATATTAAACACAAACATTTTGACGAGATCACCAGGATTATTGAAATTGAAAGTGCCCATCTAAAAACTTTTTTTTAAAAATATTTTTTGTGCCAGGCGACAGTTCCGGACATTGAATGTCACTGTTGTGTCTCCTGACTTTTTTTTTTGCATTTGCAAATTGCAAGTGTAGTGCTGACACAGTGCATTTTTGCCACAGAAGTCATATTCATGTTTGGGACTGCATGACAGGGATGTGCAGCCATCTTCCTATCAAATGGCAATTTAATGTGCTATCCTGGCTTCAACCAGGCTCGGTCAAACACAAGCACCTGCGGACCTTAACAAAGGTTCCCCCAAAGTCACATTCGTTAGTGAATGAATCTCGGCCAGTGGAATTGGCCTTCCCATCGAGTCTGTGGCACACTCACTCAGGGTAGGGGTCAACCCTTTGATGTTCAGTCTAAGGTAGAATTTGAACTTGGGTCTACCGATCATGAGTCTGATGTGACAACCAATATGTTACCAGAGACCGGTACTTTATCAAAATGATAAAAAGCTGTTTTCATCTATTTTTTGTTGATTATTGATGCTTATTATGTAATTTACAGGTAATTTTCAATAAAAATGTGACAGGTTTGTAAAGATTTTGCTTCTCTCATAGAATTTTGTACCTGGCTAAAAGTCTGGTGATCACCAACAAGTTTTCCATAAATTAATTGTCTGGAAAGCAGTGGTTATATAATAGTTGAGGTATATAGGTCAAAGGTCAGTAAATGGATAGTATGTCTATGATTTCATTCAGCATGTAAAGACTGCACTGGGGTACTGTGAACTACATGAAACTGAGACCAAAACTAAAGTGGACATTGTTGTTGAGTGACAGAAATATGATATAGTCAGTCAGAATACCTGACTAAAACTGTATAGCAAAAAGGACCGCTATTACCAAACCATATACAAACTCCAATGTGCACATACACATGAAATGTAGTTTTGATGATATCGACACTCCTCAAAAAGTTTTGATAATACAGGTACTCCTTAACAGGTGTGAAACACTTGATGTGTTCACATGCTATTAACAGTTTTAATTCCGTGAGTGACATAGTTTCACATATTTTGTAATCTTTCATTGACTTTGATATGTGGATGTATCAGTGGACAATTTTACTACATGTAGTATCGAAGTCCTCACATAAACCACCAGATTATCAAATTATGAACAGATACATACAGTGTAGGTTTTATTAAAATTTGTATCACAGTGTGGGGCCACATAGGTATACATGAATGAAATTTTCTCTATCTTGAAACCAACTTTTTACAAGCGATGGCATGCTTGTATTTTGAATTGTATTAAATTTGAAACCAGAATAGGCAAGCCGTAGGTTTGTGATTAAAATTTTAGCAAAATTCAACTGGGTTTGAAAAAAATGCTTTGTATTTCAGTGAGTTTGGTCTAAAACAAACCAATACTTGTGTAGTTGAATCGGCTTTATTTGGGAGACTTTCAACATCTGTGATGATGCGAGTGATTTCAAAACAAATTCATTGGTTGTATGGAAAGTTTAATTGCAGTAATTATTAAAATAATATTTAATTGTAAATAGACTATAAATAGGTCATTAAACATTTTTAATACTATCAAAGAAGGGGATTGTCCGAAACATCAACCCATTTTGAATAGTTACTCAGGGTTACGATTAATTAAATATTTTCTACTAATAATATTATGGTAGATGACATAATACAAGCATCTAGCAATCATCAAATGAAGACCTGCAAGTCAAACATGTGTCATTGTTAAACTAACGACACATTAATTTGACTAAAAAGTCTCAGATTTCATATTACACAGTATATTTATCAGTATTGCTTATCAAAGAGGTGTCAGTAATTTTTGCAAGATTAGCAAAAATAATGAGGGACTGAAAACAATGGAATTCACAGCAGGAATGCAAACAATTCTACAACAAGATTGTAATTATTAAACCAAATATCTCAACACCTCCCAATAACCATACAAAGCATAATAAGGTCAGCATATTGTTACCCACCTTGCTAACTCACGTATTAAATTAGCAACACGTTTTTTATCTTCCGGTCTCAAATCCTTTAACGATGGTTTCTTCTTAATCTTCATATTGTTATCCGCCTTTTTCGTGAAACAAAAGAAAGAATATGAGAGAAGGGTGTAAGGGTGGGTATGTACAAGTACAGCGGTGTATGTGATTGTGTAGGGTGACTAGCTACTGTTGCTAGCTATATAGTTGGCTTCCCTTAGCTATGTTGACTTAGTGGATATCAAATTCTTGTTTACACAGTCGTAATCTATACTGGTTACCTTTAAATCTAGGGTCCTTATAGAATACAGGTATGCAGCAGCACAGTTCACAAATAATCAAACAATCATTATTTTTTTTTGACAAGATGATTATGAAAAAAAAAAAATGAAGAACTGAATCCACATTATTTTTCGAACGGAAAGATTTTCTCACCAAAATTTGTGTTCATTATTTTCATTTAGATTTGATAATGATTTTTCTAAGTGAAAGATAATGAAAGATACATTGTAGTCATTTTTAATTTATTAATAATTTTAATAATAATTTTTAAATGTAAAATTGTTACATCTCTACCTTCTTATGATCAATTCCAACTGCTCTTAAGTCCCCAGGATACTATTTAAGTTTGTATGCATAAATTAACATAAAATGAACTATTCAAGTCTAGAATAAAGATTTATCACCATTTCAAATTTCCAAAATAATAATGAGTGCTTGCTTACACTAGTCATGGGGTTTTCCTGGGAATTGTATTGTTGTTGAACTATTCAATATGGTATATGCTACAAAACCATTAAATTATATGGACATGTACCAGGGTAAATAAGTTGTGAATGAAAAGAAGATTGTTATCATACTGGTAAATCTAATAAAACAAAGTTCATGACATCACAACTACCATACTTTATCTATTAGTAGTGCATGACAGACTTATGGTAGATATTTTCTATAATTCTCTCTTAATGCTGAATTTCGAGTATATTGTAAATTACTGTTTAAATTATCATGTTTTCGGGATTTCATTGCACATGCCACTGTATTATAAAACTTCAGAAAATGTTTCACAGCTATTGTATGTTGCAATTATCACTGACACATGAAGACTTGTCTTTCACAAAATCAAAGCAGTTCAAGTAAATGCTAGGGTTTTGTTTATGGTCACAATAAAATTTTTTTAATGATCCAGTGAATAATGCAATATTCATATAATAATAATATAAATTCATGATAGAGGGTGGTCTATGTCTGGTACGCACATTGAGTAGTACAAACGCATGCTTTTGCCAGAATTGCGACAGCCGCGTCATAGATGGTGGTGTGCAGCGGGTTTTACTTTCATTGTAATGTCACTTAATAGTGAGGTAATTTGGGTAAGAACCTACCATGTGTATGCCTAGTGATAAGATTAAAAAAAACATGCACATACG